ACAATTTTTTTTCTGATACCTGACAATTTTTTTTTTTGACAACTGACACCTGACAATTTTTTGTCTGATACCTGACGATGTCCTAAAATGTACACCGTACCCCCCCCCCAGAGTCTAGACGCTGGTGGTGGAGATGAAGATGGAGGCTTGAATGGAGCCTGAGTGATGAGAGGCGGTGATAGGGAGGAGGTGAGTTGCATGAAGGCGACTGCAAGGAAGAATAACAGATGCGCAGTGAGATTTAAAGTAGCCGAGTAAAGGCTGATCGGCCTGAAGGAGGCCAGCAGAAAACTGATTGGACTAGACATGTGATGTCATAATCAACTTGACAGCGTGGGAAAGTGGAATTGATGTAAAGCTTAGATTATCCGTCAACACCTGGGAAGCAGACAGATGGGTGACGACAGATCTTCCTTATTGAACTTATGCATAAGCTTCATTTAAATGTCAGTCTCATGAAGAGGATGTTTCAGAGCCATTTCAGCTTATTTCACCGGGCTAAAGTCCAAACTTTAGATTTTTTTTTCTTTTTCACATTTCCTAAAATTGTAAAACTTCTAGATTAACATGCAAAAACAGATTTAATTTTATTAGTTTATTTTCTATGAATTTCAACTTGAAGATGTCAAACTGTTCCATTTTTGAATTATTGTGTTTAGTAACAATGCAATAGTCTCTCGCAGATAATTACACTACTGATAAAAACAAGAAATCGCAGATAATCCACACAGGGTTATCACCTCTGGCTAAAGCTGGAAAAATCTCCAGCATCGCTAAGCCTGCAAATTTCACTAGCTGGCAGGCCAAGTTGCACCTCTAAACTACCTTTATGCCAGTGAAGATAAAAAAAAAACACTTGGAAAGTCCTGCTATTCTTGATTGCGTCATTTCTTGACTGTTTTTGTGCACAGCTGGGATTCTCTGTCTCGAGTATATAGCAAATGCTGTGTTTCAAACTTTGGAGTGTAGAGTGTAAAGCTTGTTTATTATCATTTTTATGCAATGAAAAATGTAGAAAGTAATTCTATCTTGCCTTTTTCAATGCTTCAATTGTTGACAAACTTTAAATCAAGTCTATGAAGTGCAATAATAAAATACTGGAGTTTTCTTCAACTGCTGAAATGTATATTCCTATATATCTGTGCATATTCATTTCTATTGGGATGAAAAAAAATAATGTTCATAGCTTGTCTTCCTTGCCTTTCAAATATCAGCTGTGATACCTTTATCAGTCTCCAAAAGCATTTCACTAGAATCTGCACAAATGTTCTGTTACTCAGCAAAATAAACAAAAACAAACAAACAACCTTAAAATAAATTTTGGCTCTGGAAAATCAGAGTCCTCTTAAATAAACACGCTCAGCTCTAAGCCCCAGAACAACTCTTTTTTGAGTTGTTCTGTAATCTCCTGCATGCAGCATTGTGCACACTTAATCTTGCAGTAAGCTATTGCTTTATTCTCCAAAGCCTAAATAACACAGGTCTGAGGGGGCAATCAGTTACTCCCTGAAACAGTCAACAGCAGCTCTCATTCTCTTGGGGCTTAGTTTATGCATTTTGGACCTGGTTACAGAACTTCCTAGATATTCTTGCTTCACCTTAATCAACTGTCTGTGTTTTTGCTGAGTGAAGCATTAGTCATTGAATTGCTGTCCACGTTGGACTGTTGCTCGTAATCCATCAATGCAAAGTAGCCTGCCTTCTCTCCAACACTCCCAGCAGTAGCAGTGCACAGACCTAACTCTTCAGGCAGTCTCACTCCTTCCTGTTTTATAATTGGTTTGGCTCAGGTAGGATAAAGGAAGGTTGGATGTGTGTTTTACATTAATGCATTAAAGTCGATCCATTATGATGTGTTGCCTTCTGTTTTAAAGTCATGAGTTAATATGTCAGTCTCGGGTAAGGTAATTTTTCACCAGTGTTTCACGTTTATTTCTCTTCAACAGATTGAGAAGATCATGAACTTAATTGGAGCAGGAATTGAAACATCCAAAAACAAGCAGCCCATACCAAGTTCAGGTAATCCATCAGTAACCAACTTGAATTTGGAGTCTTTTCTTCTCCACAGATTTGACTTTGTGGTGTAAATGCAAAATAACAACACTGTCTGAGGTATTAAGGAATGTTACTCATTTACCACTGATGAGTTAATTGAGCACGATTTATATAGAATATTATCTGCAACCAGTCATTTTACACCAGCAAGAGCTCCTTCATGGCATTTAAACACGCCTTCAGAAAGGACGAAGAGCTCTTTTATTGTTCTCACAAGTTACAGTGATTCATGCTGACTTTTGTTTGGCACATCATTGTTGTTATTTATTACTCACAAGGTTTCCACTTCATGGGAAATCAAATTCTAAATTCCCCTCAGTGTTGTAATTTTTTTTCTCGTGGTACTGTAGATCTCAATAGGGCTTGATTTGATAGTACGCTTCATCAAGTGTCCTTCAGGCAGTACAGAGGGAGAAGCCAGCTGGCATCATCTCAGTTTGTTTAGATAACACAACTGAGTTGATACAGTGTAAACCTACCCCCATTACATACTCTGTAGGAAAGGAGGCTTTGTCGTACAGGACTGTGTAAGGGTGCTTTTCTGCACAGGACTGCGTTTTACGTGTCTCATCAGATTTATTGGGATAACATTTTCATTAGTAATGTGCAGTATGCTTTATGGGCTGCAGTGTCTGCTGACCAAAGCAACGAGAGAGTTTCTTTCATCATATTTCTGATTCAATGCTGTCATTTCTTCCATAACATCTTCCTGTATTCCTCTTACAAATGTCCATTTGGTGTATTTATGTGATTGCTTTGACCACTTTTAATATAAAATAGTGAAGATTGTAAATTTTCTGTTTTGGATTTAGCATTAAATTTTATTTTCAGTCGTCATGTCAGGAAGACAATCGATTTCTGTTAGCCTTGAGAAGTAAAACCTATATTGTAAAAGTAAATAAACATTATACAGCTTTTTGAGTGGCAACAATAAGGTGAAAATTCTCAATGTTTATGATTTCCCCTAAAGTAAAAAAATGCAGATCAAAGTGCTTTTAAGAAACTCACAATTTAGAAATGTACATTTTCAAAAGAAGAGGACGAAAGTATATCAAAAACAATAAAAAATTAACTGTTCTTAGAAATCATTAAATGTACTTATTTCATCACAATTCAATTCTTTTAAGGATCATTTCTGTTCATTCATCATCTTTAAGCTCAAATATATCTTTTTTTAAGGAAAGCTTGTTAATTTATCATTTTAATTTTGACTTAAATTCCAGCTCAGTGAGCAGTGTTGGATTAAATGCTATCTAAGCAATTAAAACCTGGAGTTATTCCACATTACGTAAGAGCAAATATGGTGTTTGTTTTCGCTACACTTATAGGTGTGTGCTATTAATAGTCCTTGTTTGAAGAATGACATGCTGAAAGTGTCCCAGATTCAGCTGAGTCATACACTTGCTGCTCCGATTTAAATCGGAGATTGTGCACAACTAGTTCTGATGGTTGCCAGGATGCTTTTTTTGTGTCTCTCTTAATAAAAAGGTCATATTTCCTTTTTTCACTGTGTAAGGGAAGGATCGGCTACCCTTCAGAGTAATCACATGGGGAAGGAGGTACACATAGATAGGAGGGGAGAGATGTAGGAGGGATTATACAAAGATGGAAACCTAAATTGTAAATCTTTATTCCACTTTTAGCTTTTGTTGTGACAGGATGAGGAAAAACTTATCCACTTCATAACACAAGTGAAGGATGGTCATTCATCTTCTCGAAGCAATTTCTGAAAAGAATCAGATTTTCTCGGCTAGCAAAATGTTAATGCAGTTTTGTACCATATAAATCCTCAAAGATAATGATGTTTGTGTTGTGTGCCCATCACAAGTGCCTTGATTGTATGAAAGAGTTCACTGAGTAAATGTGCTTAGAATAAGAGAGGGACTGGAGAGAGACCGCACAGCTAACAGCACACAGGAGGCATCGGCTCGGTTTGTGTACAGGCACACTCTGACGTTCAAAGGAAAAGAGTCCGCCTTCAGTTTCTCTGAATTAATTCAGCTTTGCGGCTCATTTTCTCCAGTGCTTGGGTGTGTTGACAAGGAGCTACTGCTTTTCTCCTGCTCTGATAAAAAGGCATGGCTTTATCTACACACAACCTCTACCTCTTCTTCGGTAAATAGGCCATTCGGGGTGTTCCGTGGAGCCAAGTCTAGACCTCGTAGTGCTCACACAGCACAGAAACCCACTTGGACAGATTTGACAGCTTGGGCTGTTTAACAGGGGATAAGACAGTGACCCATTTCCCCCCACCCCCCATAGGAGAATTGGATCCTCTGTCAGTCAGTAATTAGGTTTTACTATCGTGGGAGGTGTTCCTGTCCCAAAAGAATGAAAAAAATTGGGTGGGGTGGATGGTATTTTGAGCAGTTTTGTTGTATCGTAAAAGCTGAGATATGTATGAGGCTTAGAAGAAAAGTGTAAAGTATGAGAAGGAGGAGTTGTGGGATCTTGTAGTGAATCATAATTAGTCCACTTCAATCCTTCTTACTTCCTATTACCATCTTATCTCACCCATATGTTTCATCGCCGCCTCCTCTATTAGTCTTTTTCCGTCTTATCTCTCTTGCACATTCTCTCCTTCTCCCTTCCTTTCTCCTTCCCCCTATCCATCATTCTTGTCCTCAGTCACAGAAAATTTAATAGCAGCCTCTTTTCCTGATAACGAATGATGAGCATCGGTCCTTGTGGATGACTGACGGGTCATTGAGACCTGACTTGGCCTTTCACCTAATTGTTAAGGGCGAAGAAACAAAGGTATACGTGGCCAATTAAAGAGAAGGTTCAATCAATAGCCCTTCACTTTGCCTCCCTGTGTTGTCATTGCTTCTCCTCGCCCTCTCTACCTTACTGACTGGCTGGCTACCCATTGGGGAATGTGTGAGGTGATTGCAGGCTGCTTGAAAGCCTGCATAATAATGCTTTGCCTGGAGCTGTACTGGGATAACACCACTGGACACCCTGCATAAGTGAGTGAGAGAGTCTTTCAAGCCATGTTCACCTGTCATTAACATGCATTTTTGGTCAAGATCACAAGTGGACAGTTCTAATTACAGGTGTGAATATACTCAAGATGTACCGAGATCACATAGCTCAGACCTCCATTGAAGGTGGTTTGATTCACCTTTTTTGTATATAAAAGATGAACGTAACATTTGGGACATCAGGGATTGGTTTGTGTAGACTGCATTTCAAAGCTCAGGTGTTGGGTTAGTGGGTCCTGACATGTTGTGGAAAAAAGACAGAATAATGAAAGATGGACATATTTAGATGAAAAAATGAAGTGCTAAACTTGGTTAGCAAATGCTTCCATAAACCGTGGAGGTGCAAAGCACATACCACACATATTCACAATTTAGTTCTAATAGTACATAAAATAATAGATTTTTATGCAATAAAACTGAGGCACAGACTCTTGAACTGTTTAAATGTCAAAAGGTCACCAACACCACAAAGAAAGTTACAGTTCAATAACTATAAGCTATCTACTTCAGGTACTTTAGCCTTGGCTTCATTTTTCAGCCACTTGACTGCAGAGTTGCACTTGTCAACTGAAGCTTTGCTAGTCACTAAAATACAGCTGTGCATCTGCCATTGGCTTTAGCAGTTTGAACACCTGTGGCTATTATTTATTATTACTTCTGCGAAAGACTGTTGGATGATTTTGTAATTTGTGAAAGGCACTTTAATGCAATTCAATTCAGTTCAGCTCAATTTTATTTACATAGCACCAAATCACAACAGTAGTTGCGTCAAGGCACTTTATATTGTAAAGCCTACAATAATACAAAGAAAGAAAAAGCCCCTCTGAGAAAGTTCTTTGGTGACAGTGAAGGAAAAGCTCCCTTCTAACAAGAAGAAACCTCTGGCAGTACCTGGCTCAGGAAGGTACTGCCATCTACTTAGTGATAGCTTACAGTAATCTGCTGTTGTGTAGAGCAGTGAGATGCTGGTTTGAAAAATTAGACTGCAGCAGGAATCTGGTATTTGGTCTTATCATTCGTTTTTGTCATTGTCTCTCTTTTTCCCCTTATTCTCTTTCCCCTCAACCCCCAAACCAGTCGAGGCCCATGCCTGCCCCTTCCTGATACTGGTTCTACAGTGTGTCTTTTCCAGTTAAACGAGGTTCCTTACTTCCCACCATCATGAAGAGTTAGCTCACAGGGGGCTCAATCATTGGGGTTATATTGTATTGTCTTTACCTCCAATTCAAATGTCTTGGGATGTTGCAAATGATTAAAAGCGATAGCTTGGCATTCAAATGCCAAGTGTGAACTTCTGCAGTTGTCCAGTTGTGATCAGATTACTAAAGACATGTTAATGCCACACATGACCTGATTTGTTTATTTTTAACCCCAATTCTAAAAATTTTATGTCATCTTACTTTCTTATGCAGGCTTTTTCCTGTAAGAAGCCTCTGTTGTGCTCTAAAAATGGTTGACATGACATGAGCATCTGGAAGTACATAATGGAATTTGCCTCTTTTCTGTCATGCTGGATGAGATGGAGAAGAGGCAGGTCTCGACATGTCCTTTTCTCTTCTCTTCTCTTCTCTTCTCTTCTCTTCTCTTCTCTTCTCTTCTCTTCTCTTCTCTTCTCCAAGTGTATTAAAAACTCTGCTGACTTGAATCAATGCTGCCCCCCCTTGTCCTATCATCAAAGTAAGATGTAAATGAATTAAAGCCTTCTGGTAATAAGCAGGGATTTGAGCAGAGTCTTTGTTTCAATATCCCATGTTAGCCAAAAAAACTGGCGTGGCTCCTGCAGAACTGGATCGAGGTCCCATCATCCCTTTAAATTCTAGTCATTCTTAGCTGGAAAAGACTGTGATTTGGGGCTTTCGGAGCTTGTTCCTCGCCTCTGATGGTGGTGTCCTTTCTCCACTGGCAAGATCAGAGTGCTTCTGTGCAATTCTAATCAGTGCAGTGGAGGGGGAGAGAGGGGGAGAGGTACGTTAAGGTTAGAGAGGCACTGCCAGAAAAGAGTGAGTATGTGTGCATTTTATTGAGAGAGAAAGAGGAGCAAGATATAATGGGAAGGGGTAGACAGACAGACGATGAGTCGAGAGAGAAAGTGTGCGTGCGTTTGCATCTGTCTGTGTGTTTGAGAACGAGAGGCAAGGAGCGAGACAGAGTGAGGGAGAGTGCAAGCCAGAGAGGGAGAGAGAGGCAGAGGGAGGGGAAGTGATATAGTGGGAGAGAGGTGGTTACGTGGAGCAGCACCCCACTTCATCAGGCAGCATACGGCAGCCCTGCAGTGCGATCACACAGTATGGGTATGGGGCTATGAGATTGAGAGAAAGAAAGCTGAGAGAAGCGAGAGAGACAAGAGGGGGGGGGGAGTTACAAAGAAGAGCTTGAGGGATTTGCTTGGATGAGAAGGGGGGGGGATGAACAGTGAGTCTGTTGGCTGTCGTGGATGTGAGAAGGACGTGGCGGCAGTGGCTGAGCTTAAGGCAGATCGTTGGTCTCCTGTGTAGAAGTAGCCAGCGTGAGGACGCTATGCCCTGTGAGCAGTGAGGGGTAGCGTGTGTGAGCCAGGAGCAGCTGCTGTGACTGCATCTGCGCTGCCTGCGTGTCTCCGACAGGCAGGGGATGCAGCAAACCTCTGCCCTGAGCACAGAGGCTGCTAGCTGCACCCAGCAAGGGGAAGAACCAGGTGGGCTGGGGAGGGAGTGGGGGGCGCCTGCCTCAGGAAGGAGCTACCTTAACCGGCACTGTGGTCCTGCAGTGATCCTCGCTTCAGAGTCAAGAGGCTCACCTGCCATCTGTTGGATCTGAACCTGGATTTACTGCTTTCAGAGATGAGAAGCACGTTCTTTGGCTTAGCCGCACATCCAGCAGCTTGCTGAAAAGTGTGAATGTGGGCAGCACAGGGAGCACTGGTACCACCAAGGACACTGAGCCTTTTTCCTTTGGCAGACAGCTTACCTGGAGCTTTATCAAGGAATCTAAACTTGGATTTTATTATGAATTGAGGAGTTTGGAATCAGCACACTGTGGAAAGCCTAAGCCAACGTTTCTTTGATGTAGGATTTACAATATGTCTACCTGACCGTACTCCGTGTGGCTGTGGAGTAAGGACGAAATATGATTTAAACAAATGTCTATTCCTTGATCAAAAATTACACGCGTACCTCAACAGTACTTTAGAATGCTGCTACCTTCATTGTATGAGCCTTGTCCTAGCTCTCAAAGAGGTTGACCAATGAAGCCATGGGACTCAGCCAGAGCTTTACAAGTATGTGGTGAAAACCCTGACAGATTCATTTTGGGGGAGCTGAGTATTTCTGTGTTACATCCTGATGGAGTAGTTTCTGATTTTAGAATAAGTGACGGGGATATTTTTAACAGAGTAAATAATGTCAGGTATATGAAAATGTCTTATTTAGTGAAACATAATTTCCATTTCCACTCAGTCTGAAAATGATCTAGTCTCTTGACTTGTAGTGGTGTGTTGTAATGATTTTGGACGAACTAGGCACTTGTTTTTACACTTGCTCATCTGCTCACTAAAGGAATGCTTAGTGAGCTCGGTTTGTTGGAAGATGCTGTAGTGGCTCAGTCCAACATAACTTAACAATACAGAGCTTCAGATGGGCTCCCTTCCCCGCACTACCTCCACCCTTGCCTGACATATCTAGTCAGTCACACTAACACCAGTGGGTGTATATTAGCCTAGTCAGTCCCCTGCAGGGCTTGAGCGGTGCCTGCAGCACTTCCTTTCCTCCTCCTGTGTTTGAGTTTAGCCGGGCCCCCGCCTGTACTGTGGGAGCCCCTCACCCCCGGCCTGGACCCTGTCTCCCCCCTACCCTGCCTGGTGCTGCTGCACTCGGCTCTGCTTCTGCTGGCCGAGGATGATGTGGCAATGCCATGTGTCGTCCTCTGAGTGCCGCTGCTACCGGCTGAACGGCTTCTCCCTGCTGAAGCGCTTCCCTCTCTCGGCAGATGGGGCCTGTGGTAAAGCCCTGGACCAGCCGGTGGGAGAGTGGCTGGAGCACGTGGGGCTGCCGCAGTACGAGAGCAAGCTCCTGCTCAATGGCTTTGATGACCTACGATTCATGGTGAGTCACCTGCAGCATGTCATCTCAAGGGTCGGTTCCACTTTACATCACCCTGTCTCTCCACTGTCAAACAAGCTGCATTAGTCTTTTTATGTCACCACTCTGCTTGTCTCTTGGTAACTCCACGCCCCCTTATTTCTGTCTCTCACTCACCCTTCCACTCTCTCTCTTCCTTTATAACACTTTCCCATCTCCTCTCCATAACTCCTCCTCACCTCTGTGCAACGCATGACCCAGCTAAAATTTATGGCCTCTTCCTGAATCCCTATAAAGAGTATGAGCTGTCACCAGTGGGAACACACAGACAGCCAACATTCATTAACTTTTTCCCAGCATTCCCAGTCATCTCATTTACTGTAAAATTCAAATGTCTGTCTCCACATCGATTCCCTTGATTTACAGCCACTGTACTTGACCTCTGTTTAGGTATAGTCACTTAACCAGGACAAACAATTCTTAATATAAGCACAGCATGTTTTATCCTAGATACACTTTGCATGGTTGATTGCTAAATCTTATTAAATCCTCCACAGATTATTCTCTGTACTATCCATGTGGTGGGCCTATCTTGCATTTACTGTACAAGAGCTGATTACACTGCAGCAGCATGCTGTTGTGCTGTATTTTTTTTTACAATGATATGCTGCAATTGCATTACATATGTTTGCATGCATCTATTTTTCTATTTTCAAATTTTTTATTTATACTGTAAAAAATGATCAAAATCACAGTTTTTTCCACTGTGGTGGCTTAAAAATGATGCCAGAGATAAGTTTTCCTAAAAAAATTAAAAGTTATTGAAGAATTATATACAATTTAGCATTTTTTTTAATGCAACAGTAAGAATCTAATATTAATATATTCATACTAAAGTGATGTCCACAATCTGTCTGAAAGCTTTATCATGTTTCCCGTAAAGAACATTGTGAGGAAACCTGATATTGCATTTGACAGGGATAGCCAAAAACACCACTTTCCATCTGATAGTCATGTTTCTCTGAAAACATGGCTATATGCTGTAAATAAGTAGGCCTGGGGGTAACATTTCTCAGGCCACAGAGTTGCAATAGCACCATGGGTTATATGATACAGTGCGTCTGATGTCACAGTGGAATTCAGTCAAGTGAGACCAGTGAGGTCAGAAAAAAAGAGTGGTTGTATTGACAAATCAGTATAGTTTATAAGTGCTACTGTCTTTTCTGGATTTCTTTTCCCATTTTGGGTAGAAATGAGATTGCAGTATAGTGGAAATTTATAAGAATGTGACCATTCAGATGGACTCAGCTTTATATTTGTTTATGAGGCGATAACACAACTATAAGAGCATGGTTGTAAAAATAAAGGAATACAGTATTTGGTAGGTGATTACAGCTACACTAATAAATCAGTTATCTCCAGAATAATACACTGGAGTTAATTAAGTTGGAAGTAATTTACACACTGAGAGATTTGGAAATGCTGTTATGTAATTAACACTAGGAACAAAAGGGCAAGTTGACTTTTTTCAGTCAGAAAATGTCCAGCAAAAAACACATTATGGATTCAGCCAGTTGTACTGTACTAGACAAAACTCAGGTCATCTGTATTAAATTCAGACTTCAATGCATAAGATTTGAGGGGATGATTTCTAACCTTGACTGATTAAATCTAATCATTATATGTTTTTGTCCTCTTGTAAATGACCATGTGGGAGCAGGTACTTCATTTAGTTGATGGAGAAATCTGTTCTTCTTATTGATTTGTTACATAGGCAACATAAGCCAACAAAAGCCAGATGCAACAACCAGGTAGAATAACTGTCGTCCTCAATTGACTAAGCAATATCTCCTCCTGTATTTTGTTATTTTGCCCAAAATGTAACATTTATCATTTAGTAGATATAGTAGACTTAGAGAACAAAAAGCGAGCTTTACCGTCTGATTGGGATTGAATGAATCCATGTAGATCAAGATTTCCAGGATACAGTGTGATGTGGACTTGGTTCATTAGCCTTTCTGATGTTCATGTTCATGCCACAGTTAATGTGTCTGCTAGACTTGATGCATCAAGGAAATAAATCATTAGCTTCACAAGGCAAATTAGCCATGGATATTTACAAGGATGTGGAGGTTGCAAACAAGAAGAAAGGTCAGAGTAGGCAGGCACTGTGAATGTTTAATATTGACCTTTTAGATTGTGCTAGGCTTGCTTCAGATGTCATCAATCTAACTGAACTTAAATATCAGAACTCATTTGTGGGATTCATTGCAAATTTGAGTAAAGTGATCAGTAGAGGGCAGTACTGTGGCTCCTTTTTAATTCCCTGTCATGTTTGATTTCATTTATGTATTAACACTGTATTTAGGAACAATGCAATGGAGCCCAGAGGAACATGTAGTAATATTTAACTATTTCTGGAAATCAGCTGACATAAAAACAGGGTAAACCCAGAGCAGATTTTACTTTAAACACTATATCATTTGTGAGCCCAGAGGGGATTGAAAGCTCTTCCCAGTTTAATTCTGCAGTGACAGGAGTCTCAGCACGCAAGCCTTTCTGTGCCCACAACCCATTGCTGTCACAGCTTAAGATACACTGTATAGTCCTGCTTGGAAAGTTTCCTTGTGTCCGCCCGTCAGCGCACAAGAGCAGCCGCTCACATGAGTCGGCAAGGCTCTCTGCATGTGATGATTGCTCTGAGATGCAGCTTTTGAGGGATCATAAATTATGAACAGCTGTGTGCCCATTCTCATAATTTTTACACGATGATAATCATTTTTGCACTACCAGAAGTGGGGCACCCGTAGCTTTCACTCTCTTGGCCTTCATGGCCACACATTTCATTTGAGTGAAAAAATACACAAATATATATATATTTTTTTAGATAAACAATCTAGTGGAGGAGAACATCTTAGAAGTCTGTCCATCATCATCCACTTGTATTGCATCTCTTCTGGATTAATATTGCATCAGACCCTACATTGCCCCCCATTTTCGAATATCATAATATGGAGCTGAACATCAACATTCTGATCCGTAAACTCTTTATTCTTTATCATTTCCCTGTTACGTCTGCTTTAAAAATGGAAAATCTTTATGCTTCCAAACTATTCCTCTGTGGAGAAGGGGAATGGAGCAGTTCTAATTCACTGTTGCCTTAACTGAGTGCATTTAGTGAGATGAAGGACTTCTACCATGGCTACATCTGCAAGGCATATCAGATCAAATCACACTACCATAGCTTATAAGCTATGTAAGAACTGAACCATACATTCCTGTCACATGTTTCAAATGCAGCATGAAATAACAAGTTTGCAAAGTCTCCCGAGGCATCATCAAACTTCCAACCGTGTTAATAAAAGTGGAGGATCTATTTTTGGACCTCCCTTACATCAGGCCCGCTTCATTTTGACTTTTTATTCTTGCGATCAGTGAGTAATCTCCCAACTGCACCCTGATAGAGGCCTGTGAATACTGCTGCATTGTGCTCTGAAACCAATCCAGAGAGAGCAGATTGAGTAAAGACTACAGAACATTTTAACATTCTTGGCCAGAGAGAATCAATCTGCAGCAGTCCTCAGGGAAAAACGCTTAGCTCTTCATTTTCATGGTTCTCCTTGTATTTACATTCCTACCTATAAACCAGTAGAAGATGATGAAGCAAGTGGGGCTGTGATTTGAATAAGGGAAGAATTTTCTTTTTGAAGCTTTCAGGATGTGAGAAAAAAAATCTATTGTTCATTGTTTCCACACCCTAAATTAACAAATAGTCTCAAATTGTTGTGGAATACTTCCTCTTGGACTGTTTTGGGTCCCTGGATGAAGCACAGCAGCACAGGGATCCTGGAGACGCAGCAGCAATTCTGAAGGCTTTGTTCCTGCTGAGTCGCACCAGATCAGATTGATTACTCTTGGCACGCACAATTTATTTGACTTCATTGTCCTCCCACTCTGCTGTTACTGCTTGTGTCAGAGATGTGCATATTCTGCGTGTTTGCGCATGCGGTGTGTGTTAAGAGCAAGTGTGTATTTTTTCAGTCACAGTTTTACCCTTGCAGTAAGGCTGTGGAGCAAGTCATGATACTTTTGAGTGGATTGTTTATTTCTGTGCAAATATGTACACGGTATTATAAATGATTTTTCTTGCATACTGTTGTTCTGTATATCCATTTTCATTCTGCGTACTGTCTATGTGCTTGTGTGTATGTGATTGTTTGCATGCACGTATGTCTGATGACTATGCCTTTGGGTGTGCCTGTGTGTGAATGTGTTTATTTGTGTGTCTCTCCTGTGTTTGTGCACATGCAGGGAAGTAACGTGATGGAGGACCAGGATCTCAGAGACATCGGGATCACTGATCCAGGACATCGAAAGAAAATCCTCCACGCGGCACGCAACTTGCCCAAGGTGCTTAATATCGTAGGTTATCTTCAGCACTAAGGAGACCAGCAACTGACAGGATCTCAAATAACAAAAAACCCCCAATAAGGACAAGTACTTCACTAACAATAGCAAATAAGCTAAAAATAGGTAAATGGCACCCTGATATGTGTTATAGTGTTGAAGGAGTATTCATGCTGTCCATAGAGTGGGTTAAGCCTGAAGCAACAAAGCTGTCTAAGCAAACAAAATGACAGAGTGGGTTCATTTAAAACCTATTATCTTTCATTCAGGAATACACACTTTTCACTCTATGATAGCTGGGATGGGCTCCAGTTCAGTGACCCTCAACTGGACAACTGATTAAGAGGATAGTTGAATGAATGAATGGATGGATGAGTGGCTTTATTTGTGTTTGTTATACTCTGATATCTGTTTGATATCACTGCAAATGAAAAAACGAGTCATAAAACACTAGTTATTACTTTTTTTTTTAGAAAACTATCCATTTTTAAAAGACAATTTTTCTCCTCATTTACAATAAAAAAAATAAATATAAGGTATGCTTGAGGGAATTATGTTTTATACTACGCTAGTATCATTTTAACATTAATCCACAAATTAACCGGTGACTCTGTTAAAAACATTAAAATGATAGCATTATGCAGTTGGTCCAGCACCTTCGTGATGCGAGTCCTGTTTTAGTTCGCAGAGGTTTTCTGTGAGATTGAACTCTGGTTAATATGGAAGTCATTACAGTTTAATGAACTCATTTGGCCTCTTTCACTACGATGTTTGTAGAAATGTTGTTAAACTGAACAAAAACCAACTGTGCATGCAAAATTACTGTTAAATTCATGTAACAGTTGCACTGGCCAATTTTGTTCTTACCATCGTGAGTACAATAGTGAATCATTCTGATCTTGCCTTCTACATTCTGCATACGGCGACACCTCCATTTCTCCAAGGTCCATTTCTTGCATATTTACTTTGAGGTGGACTATGAAGGAAGCTGATGAAGTTATTTTAAGAATGGAACAATATTATCCAAACTGCTTTATTAAAAGCAACTCTTTTCCATGTTCTTGGTTTGAACTTGGTTTGAGCAGATCTTGACTATGTCTACGTGCCACTGATTTACTGTACAAATCTCTGTCTGTGTGTTTGTTTTTTTGGCTGCTAACTCCTCCTACACAGTCAGGAGTTGAGCAACCAAACTTGGCACGCAGGTACATCATAGGCTCCTGAAGGTTATTATGTATATCAGGTTTCTGATGTCATCAGATTCCCTAGCAATTACTGTACTAAGCAACAGGCTAAAATGACTTGTTTTTAGTGTTTAACAATTGTAACACCATCTAAAAGTATTGTATCTTTTTTTGTCATCATAGTTGCATCTCATTTATATCCACAAAAACTGAATTATACATGATCTATTGTATGTTGCCTAGCAACCACATAGCAGTTAGCTAAACTTACCTATTTACGTGCCTACAGCAAAGCGTCATATCATTTTCATTTCATGGCCACCAGCATGAACAGGTCAAACAATGCTATAGCATGGGCATGTACTAGTTCCTTTAGACCACCACTTGAACAAGTGTACCTAAAGAAGTGGAAGCAGCTGTCACCTAAGATCATAAGCTTTGCAGTGTTGTACAAATTACATTTTTGTTCTGGAGATGAGAAAAGTTTAGATGGAATATGTAGGGATCAGCAAAGTCAGGAGTAACCTTCCCCGGGGATTATAAATGATGATTTCACAGCACTCCATCCGGCAATCGTTGATGTTCCAGTCAAGAGCTGAACTGACATTGCTGTTTTTTAAGCTACTTGCCTAGCATGGCCGCTGCAGCAGTCAGCTTTAGTTGGGTAGAAAACCCAAATTGTCCTTCCATAAAGTCACAGTTCTTGCTTACTTAGATGCATCTGTCTCCGTAGGTAAAAGCACTGGGGTGTGATGGCAGCACATCTCTTGCCACTTGGTTGGATGGCCTTGGTCTGCATGAATATCTGCCCAACTTTCTTGCCAGCGGCTACCGCACACTGGAGTGTGTTAAGAACCTGTGGGAACTGGAGATCATCAATGTAAGAGGCCATTGATTACTCAAATTATAAATGCATGCACTACGAGTAATTAAATGCATAAAGTAGCAAATAAATTACTTTTATTTTATTTTTTCTACTAACATTTTGCAATGTTTTATGACATTTTTCCCTTTCTGAGTCCGAAAACATTTTTTTTTCGATAAAATAAATGTTACCTAAAAATATAATTAAGTAAGTATTAAGTATTTAACTGTGTCTACAATAGTCAGTGCTCACCCATTAATATTGTATGCGCTACTCTCCTTAGTACTTCTATATTTGTACCATTATGTTTACAGTTCAGTTGCTTGGGTCGTGTTTTATTTACCTTCATGTTTGAATAACAAAGCTGTCATGGCTGAGGTGGGTAGGTGAGCTAGTGACTAACACTGTGGCACCGCAAGGAGTGAGCATGCTCTGCTCATTGTTAAGGAAGAAAATCTTTAAAGTTAATATTTTTAAGCTGTCTTGCTGATGTTCATCAAGAGCATGCAATCATACAGGTCATTGTATTATACAAAGCTATTCTTTAACCAGGAAGTTAAATTCTTCAGATTCTGATTATATCTTTCATAAGAGTGTCGTGGGCTGACATAAGCAGGATTAACCTAGCGTGTTTTCTAATGTCAGGTAAAACCATAGATGCAAGAAAAAACACTCTGCACCAGGAAAACATGCACTCAGGGACACAGAAACTATATTTTATAGCTACAAAACTAATTTCAAAACGGTAGAGGAAATGTAGTTTGTTTTCGTTTGTCACTTGTCATTCTGGCAATTTTTTTTAACACAGCTAGCATGAAGTTTTTTTGAGACTGAGAGGTCTGTGTGAGTGTTTCTGGATTCATTCGGTACATTAGAGAGAGCAGTCTAAAGAAACTGAAAAAGGTAAGTTTCTATGATAATATATTATATTGCAATCATATTCTCAAATTATACATGCCCGTCATAACTAAGACTAAATGAATGAAAACTAAAATGAATTGAGACATTTTTTAATAATAAATAATCACATAATCACTCACCATACCTTTTATACAAGACAAGAGTAATGAATATTGATTGTATTTAAATGTGACATTCAAAAATGGATATAGAATAGAATTTAATAATCCTTTAGTTGTCCTACAGGGGGAAATTTGGTTGGAACAGCAGCAAAAAAAACACATATACAAACAGAACAGGACACAGGACATAGAACAGAAACACACAAACATTTTTATATATTTACATCATGGACAATAGTTACCAAAGCAGTAGTGTACAGTTATTAAAATTAAAGTACAGATATATAGCATGTACTTGGAAAATAATTCAGAAAACATTTGATTTAAGTTTGCCTTAGTTGATAATTAGTTGCTTTTGTATTAAGCTCTATGAACTTTTGGGGGTTTACAGTCCAGCACTGATTAACTCTGTGGATGGATGAAGTCGTCAGCTTTTGAATCTGTGATGCTGTGGGCCAGTTCTCATAGCCTTAATAACAAGGCCATCCTAATATGTGGCTCCCAACGAAGTTAAGCAGTACTTTAAAATGCTGAGCCGAAATATCAGAAATGCTTCGTGATGGAAGCATTTGCATAAAACTACAGCAGAGACAAAATCACCACACAGTAATTAGTGGATAATTAACAGATGTGTGTAAATTAAGAGACAAAGTTGTGACTGATGACATGGAGAAATGTAATTTGGTTTTATCCGTATGGAAATAGTGTAACATTTTATGATAATTAGTAATTAGAGAGGCGGTCTTATTAATTTTGCCTAGAAACATGGGTGCAACATGTGTAGGAGGATTGATTTCTCAGATTGTGTGTACGTGGAGAACAGTGTTTTCCTGACAGGTTTGAAACATTATTACTAGAATATGGAAGTAGAAAAACACGTGATCATTAGTTAGAGATTTTTCAAGACGGCGCTCTTTTTAAAAAATAATTTATAATGAAATATTGATAATATTGGCTACATGTAAATTATCCAAATGGATTAATCTGTGATGACGATTTGCAAATAGCCATCGTCTTGTCTGCTGGAGTCACAAATCAAAGCGCTTAAGCAGTATTGAGCTGCAACAACTTTATAGGCATCCTTTTGATGTTTTTCCATTTGCCACTTGATACCTGGTTTATTCACATTGTACAAATTTCACTTTTTATAACTGATGTTAGAGATCTTGCAAAGTGGAAGTTTATTGTTGATCAATTGCTTTAATATGAAAGCTGTGCAATGTCTGCAGCATTATCTCCTTTTTGCACTTTATAAGAAGGAGAAGCTTGTGTAAATTCAGTGTTATGATATCATCTTGCTCATGTGAAGAGCAAGAAACTCATAAAAAGGTAATTTACCATGAGAGAGTGGTGATCTCTTGCCTATATCATAGTGGATATATATATAGTAAATGTCCAAACTAGAACATGTCTGAAGTGGGCTGTTTCCTTATGTATGCTGCATGTGAGAGATGACAACTGGAAAATATCCCAACTTGATTTTCCTAAAACTGTCCAAACTTCATATGTGAAAATAGGATAATCCAAACGTGTCATAGGGTTATGTTGCTGACATCGGAGCAGCAGAGACACAAGGGTTGTGAGAGTCAATACAAGCAAGTTTGTCAGACAGAATGTGATGAGACTGGAATGTGTGTTATATAAAGCAATACATAAATCCCATCTATATGCCAATACAATTTTTTGTGTTGTGCAGCTGTCTGAATGCAGCCATCTCATTTGACCAAATGGTTGTCAATCAATCAACAGTATTGTGCATTTCCTTTGTTCACTGCAATAATGTGATCAATATTTCTTACTCTGAGAGAGGGTCTGACTGGATCACTGATGTATATGGAATCAAAATCTGTCTGTCAGTTTTTAATGTGGTGATAATGTTTCCGTGTTTTCTCATTTATAACAGATTGTGTTGAAAATATTATTTATTTTTCTTGTTGTGACTCATAAAAAAATACCAGCAATGAGATGATCCAATATGGCTCATACGCAAAGACAGCACCGCAACAAAGCTGATACTGAGTCATCATTTTTCTTTTTGTTTTTGTTTTTTTTGCACTTCTCACTCAGTTTGTTTGTGTGCATAGTTATGAAAAACACAAAAAACTGTGGCGGTAAATTAGCAGAAACCAGCAACAGCTGCAGTCACAGCAGCAGCAGCAGCAACAGTCGAGCAGCAGCCAAGCATACTGTCCATGCAGTGTGTGAGAGATGGTGTCCAGCAGACTGCGATGCAGAAGGATGGGGGTGTGAGTGCAGGGCACATTACTTTCAGTGTGCAGAGTAGCAGAACTGCCTCTCAGCATCTGAACTCACTTTGCCCATCACATCTCCGACATCCTCCTCAGCGTCTCACTGCAAACAGCATCGAGCACTGAGATGATCTATGAGCTGGTTCCCTGTATAATCCCAAGGTGTTCTTTATTACTATTTAAATTCCGTCTCATTTCACAGGCCTCGTGCACACTGGCCTCACTGGGATTCTGCACATGGTTTTGATGAAAACAGCACCAGAAATCCAGCACACAAACCAGTTGCCTCTTCTGCCTCCGACTCCCACTGAATAAATAATTGAAGCTTTAGACAAAGAATCATATGAGCCTGTTATGGAATATTTTGTACCCGTGACATAATTGCAAATGTAACATTAATCACTCAACATCCACCTTTACTGGATGAGCATGAATGTTAATAGCCGATTATGCAAATTGTCCGTTTTGGGGTGATGGGTTTTGACTATGTAAAATTAGCTTATTGTTCCTTTTGTGATGATTTGAGTCTCACTAGCTGCAGCGGCCTTTGTAAAAAAAAAAAAAGTTTAGTGAGACAGATGCTGTGGATAGACGAGCAGTGTTTTTATACTGTGAATGGCAAACACAGCGTGTATTTACATAGTGACACTGTTATGCTTTATCCTTTTCATATGTCACATGTTATCCTACATAAATCAGTAAAGTCTTGTGTGTTTTTTAAGCACTATGTCCAAAAATGGGTCGTAAATTATAGAGCGTCCCGAGAAGGAGACAGTGCGGTACTTCAAGCTTACGGCAAAACAGATTGAGGTTGAATTATTGACGAGAGTCATTTCTGTTTGCCTGTGGATGCCTGCCAGTGAGGGGTGCTTGCCACCAACTCTGTGTCAGTTTATTTTGAATATAAAGTATCTATATTATTTTAGTCTAGATAAACTCCTGTATGTAAGATATGGATCTAAGAGTACAGGAAAGTCTCATGCTATGCCCTGATGTTGTCCTCTCTAGGTTATTAAGGTTGGTCCTCTGGGTCACAGGAAGAGGATCATTGCCTCTCTAGCAGAGAGACCCTATGAAGAGGCTCCATCTAAGTCCCGTCGTCTGTCCCCAATTATGGTAATGCATTTCATATTTTCTCACATTTTCTCTAGAATTCACAAAAATACGGTCAGCTCTAAAAGATGGAAGATGTTTTTATTTAAAGCACCAGCCAGACTGCAGCAGTGTTAGTGCTGCTATTTAACCACTGTCGACACTTATTCGATTAATAGATCAGATATGCTTAATGTGCTTAGTAAGAAGGATAGCTCTGCTCATACCCTCGATATAACACACATATTGTGTCACTCTTGTCTGTTATGAGATTTTTTTTTTCCCTCAGCATGTTTAGCCTCGTTCCTGTGTGCTGTTATATTTTAGTTTATTTTTTTCTTACTCTACAACAATCCAGACAGAGCTGAAGTGTAAAGCAGCATGGCACGGTTGAGCTGTTTTTCTATACCGACATCATTTTGTGAGAAAATGGATCCTTTTTCTTTCTGCAGCGGAAATCTAATTTTGGAATGAGATTCTTCAATATCATTATGTTCACAACAGTTAAATACTGAGGGCTGATTTCCCAGGCAGATTAAACTGGGCTAAAAAGAATTGAGAATCTCCATGGAAGAGGCTCTTTTTGTCGAGGATTAGGCTTGGATGTAGATCAGGAAAACCAGCCTGTGTAGACAGTGCTTTCAAATCATTAATCTGTGTGTGTGTGTGTGTGTGTGTGTGTGTGTGTGTGTGTGTG